ACGGGAGAGGCAGAGGTTGGCTGGGTGTGAGTAACGCTTGGTGTGGGACAATTTGTTTGGGGTACTGTGTGGGTGCCGGCATTGGGGGACTGGAGGTGCAGAGTAACTTCAGAGTACATCCGTCTGGGATCTACTCCTGTGTTACTCTCCTACCGAAAGGGGAGATATGTGACGGGAGTGACTTTTGGGGGTGGGGGGACCACTTGGTCAGCTCATGTCCCCCTCATTATGTTTAAGGCACCCTGTGCCTGTTAAGGGTTACAGGGTGTGTATGTGAATGTCTGAGTTCTGTGTATAGTGTGTTGTCCATTGTCTGTTTACCATGTGCTACCCCCCATTGTGCTGTGTCTCCCTGTCCAGCCAACTATTATGGGATGTACTGTTTGTGTATTGGTGTGGGGGTTGGGCAATGTCCTTTGCCACATGGTTGCATCCCATTGTTCTGTGTCTGGTTGGATGGGGAGGGGTGATGAGGTGTTTCCTGTCCCTGGTTGTCTTTCCCCGCCCTCTGTATAAAACATGTTTTGTGTACAATAAAGTTAGTTGACTTCCTGTTTTAGTAGGAGCTGGTTGTCTGTCTATTTTCCTGAGGGATTCCGAGGGTGTGGTCTGTGGATGGTGTTCGGACAGGGGAAGCTGCAGGATAACGGAATATACCCAAGTGCGGTCGGGTACCGGTTCCGTTACATTGGTGGCAAGCAGTGGGATTGTGCTTCCAACCTGTAAACACATCCAAACCATCACCGGGATCCAAGAGCAGGAGAGGAGAGACAGATACCACCCGCAGATATGGAAACAGAGGTCTTGTGGCGGATGCAGCAAGTGCTGGCTTATTTAGATGACCCGGTTTCTACATGGGAAGAGCGTGGACAGGGGAAGCTGCAGGATAACGGAATATACCCAAGTGCGGTCGGGTACCGGTTCCGTTACAATATCTCAAAAGCTCATGAAGTCCACCCCTGTCTTCCATGCCCCTAATTCTTTGCAGGGTTTCTTATCTACTGTGTCATTAGCTTGCATTCAAGAGCTGACCATCACTTGCTTATCACAGCCTGCCCCTTACTGTGCTTTCAGAAGATCACATACTGCAAGGAGACTGGTCATGTAGCCTTCCGGGACATGTGAAGTGTATCCCAGGAGGTTCTGCAGGCAGAGTAACCTGGCCAAAGGGAACTTCATCCTTGCCTAGACCAACAATCGGATTTGGAGGGATTACCACCAAAAAAAAAGGTAGTAACAAGTGCAATTTTGTAACAGGTTTGAGGGGGGATGGTGGATGGGAAGGAGAGGAGGAAGAGAATGATACTGAGTGTTATGTTTGGGTGAAGACCCGCTTTGATAGCTGTAAAATTAAACCATTATCAGGCACTGATAATAGAATAGAGCTATTCCAGGCAACAAGTAAAAACTTTTTTGCCCCAGCACGAAGGTAAGGCTGCAGAACATCCAGAGTGATGACTATGCTTCGATCTTTGAATGCTCTGATCTGTATTTTAACAGGTTCAGATTCAGAGCTGATTGGAGGATAAAGGTGCCAGGAACTATGGAAATTGATTTAACAGTAGTAATACAGTGTATCTGCATCTTCATCTTCCCTCAACTTTTGGAGTATGGAAGGAGGGCAGGCCTTCAATCTTCAATGTGATAGCATTCTAGTGGGAAACCTATCGCCAGGACAAAACACTGCCATATTGACATACCTAGAAGCTTTCAAGAGTGGAACAGAGGGCAGAGTAGGAAGTGTGGCAAATGTGAAGGAGTCCTTTTTCAGGTGTCAACATCAGCCTGTGTGACATGGACACTTCTTACTGGCTGTTCAGCAGTGAAGTACTCAGACTCCAGAAGTCTGCAGTGGTGACATCAGCAAAAAGGGACCATCAGGAACTGTCCAATTCCCAGCACATCTGCCTCCCTGGATTACAGGTCCTCTGCCCCCTGGAATGGCACCATCCAGGAGGGATATGGATAGCTGCCCTTGGTGAGTATAACATCTTTCCACAAGGTATTTAACCATTTCCCTCCCGGCCTGTGGCCGAATGGCGGCCGGCAAAAACCCTCACCTTTCTGGGTAGACGCCATATGGCGTCCTTTCGGGTTTGCGCACCTGCAGTGCTGCGCAGCGGCCCGATCTGTCACCGGCCGTGTACCTCGGACACGGCCAATGACAGATCTGAGTACCGGCCCCGTTGCCGTTACCACGTGACCTGCTGTGACCAATCACAGCAGGTCACATGACAGTTGTATACAATGGATGGCTTCATTTATGCCATCCATTGTATACTAGTGTGTCTAGCTGTGAATGGTCACAATGATCACATGCACAAGCTGGGCCAATCACAGCCCAGCTATGTCATGTGATTAGCTGTGGCCAAATCACAGCTAAGCACAAAAAAAAAAAACCCTGAATGACTCAATGTCATTCAGGTAAATGCTTGCTTATAGCAAAGTAATTCTTTGCTATAAGCAAATTGTGTAAAAAAAAAAATATATATATATATAGATCACTTACCCAAAGTAGTACAATGTTACTATGGTAACATTGTACTACTTTGGTCATAGTGAAATATTAAAAAAAAATCTTAAAAAGAAACAAATGTAATAAAAAATTAAAAATAATAAAAAAATCACCGCCATGCCAGTTATATGATGACACTGTACTGCACTGGTGACAGTATGTAAAAAAAATAATGAAAATAATTTTTTTAATTTTCCGAAAAATTATGACAAAAAAAATACAACTTCAAAAAACTCGCCATGCCTGTTATGAAGTACGTTGGACTGTCTACTTTGCAAAAAGGGGTCATTTGGGGGATATCTGTACTGTTCTGACATTCTTGGACCTCAAGAAATTAGATTGGCTGTCAGTACTTCAGGATTGATCAATATTTAGATATATCCCATAGTTTGTGAACTCTATGACTTTCCTACAAACTAAAAAATACATCCTAATTTGGGTTATTTTCACCAAAGACATGTAGCAGAATACATCTTGGCCTAAATTTATGAAGAACAATTATTTATTTGCAAACTTTTATAACAGAAACAAAGAAAAATGTGTTTTTTTTTCAAAATGTTCGGACTTTTTTTTTAATTTTGCAAAAAATAAAAACCCCAGCGGTGATTAAATACCACCAAAAGAAAGCTCTAGTTGTGTGAAGAAAATGATAAAATTTTAGTTTGGGTACAATGTTGTATGACCGCGCAATTGTCATTCAAACTGTGAGAGCGCTGAAACCTGAATAATGGCCTGGGCAGGAAGGGGGTAAAAAGTGCCCGGTATGGAAGAGGTTAGAGAAAAAACACCCAATAGGTGAAAGAGGGGTGAGATGGAGGTAGGTTAAGGTTTTACCTGAAAATAAGCTTTAACTATAAACAGATGATCAGTAAGTACATTTTTAACAAGTATTGTAAAGATGCTGCTGTCATCTCATTTGTGCATATCTGAAGTGTATAGCCAGTGCCTGCTTTGGACTTCAGACATGCTTTAGTCTCTAGCACTATCACAGAATTAAATACACTTGGACCTGGCTGTGTGGACTTTGCACCTAGGGCCCACCCACATCTAGTATATGGGATATGTGGCAGCCATCTAGGCTACTATCCTGATAGTCCTGCTGCTGTAAGACGGCATAAATAAATAATTTGTTTTTGTTCATCACCAGAAAAAGTCTGTAAAGAACATGTGGATTATTTGTGTTCCAGTTCTCTATTTTTACTTTTATAGTGTTTGCTTAACATTGTGGGTGGATTTCACACTTTTTAGATTTCCAGTTCCTCTTCACTTTGTTAGTTTTGTTTCCATTGATGGTCATACACGCTAAGGCACATAAAAGTATGTTTTTGCAACATATGGTATCCAGATATATTTTACATTTCTGTTTCTGAGGAAAGTGATGGGCCCACTTTAAGTAAGAAATCTATATTATAGGGTCATACATTTTATAGGATTGAATCACTAAAGCATAACACAAGTAAAATTTGTATTGCTGTGCATTGTTTTCTACATTTTAATATCAAAATTTTAATCAATTTGCTAAAGGTTGCATTGCTGAGGTCTGTCCAAATGTCTTATATTATCGATTTTTACTGTAAAGTCGGTTTACAAAAATGATTGTACTGATTATCACTCCTTGAAACAACACAGGCTTTTGGCCAGCATTAAAGGATAACTAAACACAAGAATAAAAATTCTTAACCTCTACATGCCGACAGTATGCATATATGCGTCCTCTCGGCAGGTGGGCCTTAATGCCAAGAGGCCAATATATGTATACCAGAATGTAAACACAACTGTGCTGAGTGTGTGTGCCTTGCATGCTCCTGGCACAGTTCCTGGCGACTAACAGAAAGCTTTCTACATGCAATCGGGAGCTTTCCGATCATGTGACCAATCATGGTGCTCACATGATCAGAAGCCCTGCCTTCCAACATCAGAAACCACTTAATGGGCCGGACGGCACTGGCATTATGGTGTTAATATTGCAGCGTACAGTCCTTAGATGTGCCTAGTTTTGTTTTTTATCAGGTTAAGACTTTTATTAGCAAATACATGAAATACTTGCTGATCTTGTCAGAAATGCAGTTCCTTTGTCCCTTCCTGTGAACTACACAGAAAACTATTTTCTTTCTTAGCTATGTTCTGTAAACTATCTATTGGTACCCCCCCCCCCCCCATGTTATGGAGATGAAAAGATAAGAACATGTGTGGTCCATATCAGGAAAATAGCTTATGGTGACAGCTTTTTGCTTGCTCCCTCCATAGATACAGTGGCGTGATGAAGCCACCCAAAGACAGGAAGTGTGTTATTTGCAGGATTAACAAGTGGTTTTCTTTTTCTTTTGCTTTATTTTCAAAGTATCCACCACACCAAAGTCTAGTAAGCTGCAATAAACTACATTTTTGATTTTAGGTTTAGATATATACTATATTGCCAAATCTTTGGATTCAGGTGTTCCAATCCCCTCCATGTCCACAGGTGTATAAAATCTAGCACCTAGGCATGCAGACTGCTTCTACAAACATTTATAAAGGAATGGGTCACTGTCAGGAGCTCAGTGAATTCAAGCATGGTACCGTGATAGGTTGCCACCTGTGCAATATGTCCATCTATGAAATTTCCTTGCTAATAAATATTCTACAGTCAACTGTTAGTGGTATTATAACAAAGTGGAAGCAACTGGGGACAACAGCAATTCAGTCACAAAGTGGTAGCACGTAAAATGACAGAGTGGGGTCAGCGCATGCTGAAGTGCACAGTGAGCAGAAGACGCCAACTGTCTGCAGAGATAATAGCTAAAGACCTCCAAACTTTGTGTGGCCTTCAAATTAGCACAACAGCAGTGCATAGAGAGCTTCGTGGAATGGTTTTCCATGGCCGAGTAGCTGCATCCAAGCCTTACATCACCAAGTGCAATGCAAAGCGTCAGATGTAGTGGTGTAAAGCATGCCACCACTGGTCTCTAGAGCAGTGGAGACTTGTTTCCTGGAGTGATGAATCATGCTTCTCTGTGTGGCAATCTGATGGACGTGTCTGGTTTTGACGGCTTCCAGGAGAACGGTACTTGCCTGACTGCATTGTGCCAAGTGTAAAGTTTGGAGGGGGGTTTATGGTGTGGGGGTTGTTTTACAGGAGTGGGCTTGGCTCCTTAGTTCCAGTGAAGGGAACTCTTAAGGCGTCAGCATACCAAGACATTTTGGACAATTTAATTCTTTCAACTTTTCGGGAACAGTTTGGGGATGGCCCCTTTCTGTTCCAACATGACTGCACACCAGTGAACAAAGCAAGGTCCATAAAGACATGGATGAGCGGGCTTGAGGTGGAGGAACTTGACTGGCCTGCACAGAGTCCTGACCTCAACCTAATAGAACACCTTTGGGATGAATTAGAGCGGAGACTGCGAGACAGGCCTTTTCATCCGACATCAGTGCCTGACCTCACAAATGCATTTCTGGAAGAATGAGCCAACATTCCCATAGACACACTCCTAAACCTTGTGGACAGCCTTCCCAGGAGAGTTGAAGCTGTCATAGCTGCAAAGAGTGGGCCAACTTAATATTGAACCTTATGGACTAACACTGGGAAGCCATTAAAGTTCATATGCGTGTAAAGGCAGGTGTCCCAATACTTTTGGTAATATAGTGTACTTTACGTGTTTATTTCTTTGATAAGTCTTTTGAGGTAAAGCAAAGACGTGAGCCATTTTATTGCAAATACATTATTGATGTATAAGAAAAAAATGCAAACCATTAAATATTAAAGCTTTTAACAGTTAACTATTTCCTCTCTAGAGCAAATTTTTTCATTTTTCAAACATAAAATTACCTGAAACCTCTAGACTATGATATCTTTTCTAAAAGAAGAGTAGAATAAAAAAATTTAGAAGATTTAAGAAAAAATCACTACAATTTATTTCGGTGCATACAAACACAATATAATCCCCATATTTGTTTTGTACAAAATAAAAGATGAGGTTGTGTCAAATTGATACCAAAATGTGTCAAGCCTCACAACTGCGTGTGCTGGCAAAATAGTTTAAATTTATTATACCCAAAATTATCAATGGGTTAAGCTTTAAATGCCTTTACAGGTCATAGTCTAGACTTAACTGCAAATAAGATACCTAGAGTTATTGCTCTCATTGACATTCATGGGTGATATTTACCATATGATACAATCTCTGTTTACATAGAAATACGCATTGGATGTGCAGGTTTGTGTTCACGTGTGTGGGCAGGGTAATAAGAGGCTTTTACATTTTTTTTTTCATTATTTTTACACTTGCATTTTTATATTTTTTTAACTTTATGTGCTAACACTGGCAGGTGACAGTTTCTGTCTATAGAGACAACAGGTGTCTATTAAACCCCCAATGTTTCCCCTGCCCTCTGCAGCAGCTGACAAGCAGAGCACTGAGCTCAATCAATTGTGTACCTGGCTTTCTGTATGTAGAAGAAGAGATCTGGGGGACATCTGTTCCCTGATAGCCATCCTGACATTGTTGTGGTCCCAGGAGGAGTGGGAAAGCCTTGGGACCATGGTGGTGGGCAGCACGTATGAGTCACGTAAAAGTGTGTTCCCTTTTACAATAAAGCTGAATAAAGCTTGTTTTAATTTGTTCACAAAAACCAGGGGCGGACTGAGATCAGCAATAGGGGATCATGGGGCCCCTGTGTCCTTGCCCAAACTCAAAAAAGCCTATAAAAAGGTGCCAGGGGCATCTCATGGGGCCCCCTACTGACCTCAGGCCCTCGGGCAGTGGCCGAGTTTCCAAATGGTCAATCCGCCCCTGCCTGAGATATCTAATGAGGAAAACTAGTTAAAAAACAATATTATAATATCAGCAAAAAATATTGCAAGAGCATAACAAGGTTTGGGAGTCTCAGCATTCCCAGAATCTCACCAAAAGAGTTTGTGACATCACTAAGGCTTTTCAGGCAGAAGCTGGGTGTAAGAATATTTTTTTTTACATTTTCCACAAGTGTTTTCTACAGGTTTAATGCAGGGATTTTACATGGGGTTGAATAACCTTACAATTTACCGCAAGATCCAATTTAAAATTACTCTTATCTTAGTAAATTGGCCAGTATGCTTTAGTGATTCAATTACCACTCATTTACATCTATTGAAAACAGCCTGATTATGGGTTTCGCATGGATTTTACTGTGTTACGTATGAAAAAAATGAAAACATTTGAAAAGACAATTCTTATAGACACTTCTGCCTTGAATGCCATCTGACTCAAGAATAAAAAAATGGTTCAGCCCCAATTAACTTGTCAGATTTCCTTACTGTGTCTAATGTCTTAACCATGTTAATCCAGTGGTGGAGGGCAGAGCCAGCATACCTTCCACCACCACCAGTATATCCCTAGGCAACATTTCAGAGGTTGAGATCTACCTGGACAACATGGTGGAAATCAGAGATCCCAAGGAATTGGGTTGGGGGTGCTTTGCTAGGTGGGACCCTTTAAAAAATAAAAAGCAAGTTCCCAGTAAAAGGATGGCACGAAGAACACATTGTGTGCCACATTGTCCTCTGTCCCCCTTCACATCAGTTCCCATCACCCCCCCCCCACAGTAGTGTCTCTGCCCCCCCTTAACCTCACTCCCCCCACATTAGTGTCCTCTGCCCCCCTTTCACATCACCTCCCACAGTAGTTCCTCTTCTGACCCTCCCCCACCACAGTAGTGAGCTATGCACCTCTGCCCCTCTATACAGTAGTGTCCTTTGCCCCCCCCCCCCAAGCAGTGTCCTCTGTCCCTCTTCACAAACCCCCACTATAGTGTTCTGTACCCCCTCCATAACCGAGTCCTGCCCCCCAAAGTGTTTTCTGACTGCTGAAAGCAGTGTCCTCTGCCCCCTAAGCAATATCCTCTGCCACCCATCCCCCACAGCAGTGTTCTCTGCCCCTATTCAAATCAATCTCCAGAGTAATGTCCTCTGACCCCCAAAGCAGTGTCCTTTTCCCCCTTCACATCAACCCCCCCCCCCATTGTAGTGTACTCTGCCCCACATGGCAGTGTCCTTGTCCCCCTTCACAATATTACCCCCCCCGATATAGTGTCTTCAGCCCCCCCCCCATAACAGTGTCATGTGCCTTTCCCAAAGTAGTGTCCTCTGTCCCCCTCCCCAAAGCAGTGTCCTCTGTCCCCCCATCCCCAAATCAGTGCCCTCTGTCCCTTTTACCTAGTCCCCACTGTAGTATTCTCCTCCCCCCACCCCCTCACATCAGCAGTGTCATCTGTTTCCTTCACCCTTCCCCCCAACATAAAAAACACTGTGTAGATAGCTCTGTATTACCTGACAGTGTGTACCGTAGAGCAGAGAGCGGGAGGCAGAATAGTGCTGGATGGAGGGCGGAAGCTGCCGGAGTTAACTTTTGATAACAAGCTGGTGATTGGTTGCTAGGACTGCCTGGTGTCATAGCAACCAATCACCTGCTGGTTAACTCAAGAGGTTAAATAAGGGAGCTCCCACCCCTGCCCTCCATCCAGTACATTCAGAATGAAAACCGAGGGAAAAACCCATGAGGATTGAGCTCTGCAGTCACTTTTGCAGCAGTTGTTTTCTTATTCCGGTTCACAGTCCTATGCAATGTCCTTTTTTGTCTCTTTTGGTCAGTTGACCATGGTGACTGCGCTTATGTTTATCAGCCGACGTTTACTGGAAATTAATGCCGTCATAGCCTTTGATACTTTATCTTGCGACATGGCGAATAAATTGGCAACTTCAGTTACAAAGCCACCAGCTAAGTGCCCTCTTTGAAGCTCAGTTATCTTTGGCATGACTCCGTATTACTAGCAGCTTATGCAGTCCCACCTGTTAGCTAGGTGTCTCATCACATAGTGGAAGCGAAAGAAAGTAACATGACTTCCACTTTCAACACCAAACATGTCACTTTCACATGTAGTGTAGTGTTTTCATTTTTTTTCTAACCCCTGTAGCTTTCAGTGATGGTGTGGCAACAATGCTGCACCGCTCCTGAATTTAGAGCAGAGGTGCTACTCCCATGCAGGCTGTGCATGCTTGCATTACATTGGGATGAAAATATGTTGCAAGGGAGCATGGCTTTATTGCTACTGATTCACAAGCCTCTAGCTCAGGGGTGTCAAACTCCATTTCATTGCGGGCTGTATCACCTTTATGGTTGCCATCAAAAGGCCGGATGTATCTGTAAGACTAGATGTCCAGAATACCCGACCTCCCATTACATCAGATGTCAAGAATTCAACACCCTTCCTAACATCACCGTGCACCTCCTTTGGGGGCAGAGCTGGAAATCAGACAGTGCAGGGTCTGGAGGAGGACTAGAGGAGGAGTGCAGTCAGCTACCAGAGTCTGCTGAATGCTGAGACCAGGGGAGGCAGAGATGAGTGGATGCTGCAGCTGCACTGAGAGGTGCAGGATTTGGCAGAGGAGTTCTATTGTCCTCTCTGCTGTCGACTGCTGCGACAAGGTGGGGGGGTGGAGACAAGGGAGTACCTGCAAGAGAGGTGCAAGGGCCACATGAAATGGCCTGGAGGGCCAGATTTGGCCCGCGGGCCTTGTGTTTGACACCTGTGCACTAGCTTGTCATTCAGTACCTGGCCACACTTAGACATGCCCACAGTCTTCTAAATGGACTGCTTAGACCAAGCACTGCTCAAGATGCTGAAGCCCTTCCACTCTAAGCTGCAATGCCAGTGAGACACAAATGCAGTAGAAATTAGATCAGTCGGGGGGGGGGAAAGAGAATTTTTTGTTTACTTATTATTAGGCCTCTTTCACACAGCTGGTTGTTCTGCCGCTTGTAAATGCAGTTTTTTTTATTTTGAAATTCCAACACTCCTGGCACACAGATCACTTGCATTTGTACATTGCGTATATGTGCGTTTACATGCGTTTACATACAGC